ATATATATATATATATATATATATATATATATATATATATATATATATATATATAGATTTGCGCGTACGCGGGTACTGGTGACGTGCTGATAGTGCAAGAGTTATTAAGAATCTGCTCAGAAACGAGCGAAGGTGCCGTGAGTGAAAAAAACATCACTGAGAATAGCCCGACGTCGAGTTGTTGTGATAAAAAAAGACCGCAGAGTAGTTCTCTAACGTCTGGTAAGAGTAAAAAAAGTGATGACCGAGTCGAAGAGTCCGTCAAGTAAGTCTTATCAAATCATAACAAAAGAAATCTGTTATTTTTAGCTGAACTAGTGCTGCATTAAAACTCGGTTCTTTTCCCATTCAACGTTAGGTTATACATTTATTTCACTCTAAAGGCAAAAAAAGTGTAACTTAAATCTATTAAAAAATATTTATCTCTTCTTTTTAACTAAACCAGTTTGCATTTTTTGCTGTTAGAATGGAACAAAAGATATGTTCTTTTCAGTTAAATTACTTTGTATTTTTGTCCTTAGAATAAAATAAGCACATAATTTAGCAGTCGAAGGGAAAAGGAACGATGTTTTCATGCAGTATTAATTCAGTTAAAACAAAAACAAGCTTAAAGATTTAAGTGTACTACAATTAATGCGCTTCTGAAACTTCTATGTTCTCGGTATTTATCTTAGAGAGATTGGTGCAGCACAGGCTATAGCTACTCTCGGAGTAGGGGTAGTCGGGCTTGCGGAGGAGAAGGAAAACTCGAGGATCTTGAGCCAGGTGAAAAAATAAATCTCCGCGAGACCTCAATTGATGTTAACTGATATTTATGAGAAGCGCTGTGGGCGGGTAGCCTATTAAGGGCAGAGTTAGAGAAAGAGACTGTGTCGCACTTAAGCCTCAATTCACTTTAATTAATATTTATGAGTGCACTCTTATGGTCTATAAGAGCAGCCCATGACTGAACTGATTCTCCGTCTCCTCCTGGGGACGGAACTGAAGAACAAAATAGAGACAACCAGTTAAAATACGACTAGTTCCGGCTGTCTGTCGTGGGAACGACCTGCAGCCGTTCTCATAATCGTCGAATTCCCGTATAATTAAGGGGTTTGTGACAAAAGCAGATCGGTAGATATGGTTCAACGCCAGCGCGACGTGCTATGCCCCTCGCCATGGCTCTGTCTTCCTTATCGAACCCCGATCCGGTGATCGTAGACGTGTTGAACAAGTACAGCCACGACCACGACACCGAGGTCGCCTTCAACGCGATTATCGCTCTCGGTTTGGTGGGTGCCGGCACCAATAACGCGCGATTGGCAACAATGTTGAGACATCTGGCAGCTTATTACGCGAAAAATCCGTCTCATCTATTCCTCGTCCGTATTTCTCAAGGTTTGGTGCATCTGGGCAAGGTAAGGGTTTTGGTAAAAAGTAAAAGGATTCATAATTAGACAAATAACAATAAACGACATGTACTAAGGATTCTGTTTTTCTCCTTCTTCTTTCAGGGTACCTTGTCCTTGTCGCCTTTGCGATACTCTTCGAAAGTGCTGGACTACACCGCTTTGGCTGGCCTGATGGTCGTCTTAGTCGCGTGTTTAGATTGCAGGAATCTTATATTATCGCAATCTCATTACTTAATGTACTGCTTGGCGGTTGCGATGGAGCCAAGATGGCTGGTTACCTTGGATGAGAAACTTAAAGTATACTCTTTTGCGAAATAGTTTGAACATATTTTTTCCGATAAAATTAGCAGCGCATTGAGACTACTAAGTACTCACCGCGGCTATGTTAGATCGTAATGTCAGCCGAGAAATGAGCCTGGAAATTCTTGCATGTCATTTTCAAATAGGCAAAAGAATAGATTGCTGACTGGTTGACTCACTATCTACTTGCGTGGTAATAAATTATGATAGGAATCGAAGTGACAATATACGGTATAAATATTGAATAAATAAGAATATAAGGAAGATATTCTTTTCTTGAATCTTGCGTTGCAATTGTGATGTCAAATGTCTCACACATTATCATTTCGATTTCTGTCATAGTGGATTATCGCTATCGACTTGCAACCGTAATCATTTAATGCGTTTCTAACTTTATCAGTAAACAAAAAACGTTCAGACCATTTCGCAATAGCATCGGCTTATCAGCAAACTTAAAAAAAAGTAAAAACATTCCGCCTTGAACGTTTAGAGAACGTTTGCTCTCAACTTGCAAAACACTTCAAATAGACAAAAGATGATTATTCTAGAATTGAAACGCATGTATCGCCGTTACATTACAGAATCTACCGGTATCTGTAAGGATCGGCCAGAGCGTGGACGTTGTCGGGAAAGCCGGAAATCCAAAGTCCATTGTTGGTGGTCGTGTACAAACCACGCCGGTGTTGCTCTGTGCGGGCGAGAAGGTGGAATTAATGTCAGATCAGTACGAGTCACTTTCCAGTGTCCTAGAAAGTTTCGTGATCCTCCGTGAGAAAGTAATCCCGAGTTAATCTTGCGTATCGCAGTGCATCTTCACCCGCATACACACATTTCACATATTTCTTAAAATTTTCTTAACATTTTCTTTCGATAGAATGTGATGAGTTAAAAAAATACAAGTTAAAGCTTTGCGTGCTGATTACCTCCGGATTGTTTCTTCTGTAAGAACAATACCGTCATCATACCATCTTCGTACTACCTTCAAGAAATTAACGGAAACAAAACTTTCTCAAGATTTACGTGAAACAGATTTAAAGAAAAAGAATGTAGCATGGTGCATTTGTTGGTCAATGATTGACGAAGTAACTATTAATGAGAGAAGTCAGTTGGCTTTTTCGTACATTTGCATTTATTTAACTTTAGGGACTAGCGGAAGCAATGTGCTCTATACAACAGAAACATACATTGGTTCGCATTGCACAGTGGGAACAATAAACGTTGCACCATGATCAAGAATACCAACCCCCGGTACAAAATCGGTAAAACTCGACGCGAGGACCGTTTGGTCCGTAAACAAAAGTAGGAAGAAACAAAAGGATTATACGAAGGCGTTACGCCAGTATAGACCTAAGACATAAGAAAAAAAAAAAAGCAAGAAGATATTAACACTCTGTGTCGGTCTGAAATATCAAAATAACGAAATAATGAATTGTACGTTAATGATCATGGAGCACGTCGGACTTTCTTCGTGATGAAATCGTTTTCCGGGCAACACAAGGATTTGAAAGTGTCCCGAGAAACGTTCGAAGATCTCCCGAAAAATCGGGGACACGTCTTTCATGCGTATATATGTTGCCTCGGTAGGAATTGTAAGTGTTACACAAATGTACAGCGTGCGTAGGACGCTCGTAAGACAAACGATTCCTCTCTTTCTTTCTTTCTTCCTCTCTCTTTCTCTCTCACACTCACTCACCCTTCCTCTCTTTCTCCTTCGTGTAAATGTTCCACGACATTCGCTTGTAGGCACATGACTTAGGGTAGGAGGCGAAGTGTAATAGTAAAACGCAATTGTTTCGATAATACGTTGCATATACGCGTCAACAGCGGCGGTTTGGCGATTTCGTTCGAAGTGCGCGTGAACCTTGTTATTGTGCGCGCGCGTGCGCGCGTATCTAAATACATAATGAACGCATCTAACGTATAATCGTACATAGTCGGTGTAACAATCGGAACTTCGTGTATGTTCCTCTCGATTTTCTATGAAAAATTCTGTTTCATTCACTTAGAGAATAAATCAGCTCTACATATTCAATGAACGCGCGTCCGCTTCGTATTCAACTTGTCGCTTGATATATTGAGTGGAAACACCTTAGTTCTGTGCAGGACCTAATTTAAGGGTGGAGGACAATCGCTGGTTGCTTCTACAAAAGCAACATTTTTTCTCGTTTAGTGGTGGTTGCGAATGGAATTGCTGCTTCGCACTTTCGAAAGTAGCATAAAGTAACTTTTGAAGTATGACCTCGAAAAATGACAAGAGTGCAGCCTGTGTGCTCGTGGCGTGAGATGTGTTTCTCTTTAAGTCTAAAATATTTTTAATTTCACACATTTTACTTCATGTGATCAACGAGTTTTGCTCTTAAAAATCTGTAAAAAATCGCCTGGCATTTCTTTTTTTTTTTGGATGAACAGATGAGTGCGGAATCACGCAATACGATGTGCATATCTGTCGTGAAATTTTCAAAACTTCACTTATGCCACGTTTCCAAAGTCACACACCTCAAAATAACGAATCAGAGATATTCCGTGAGAATCGCTTATAAATTTCGACAATGATGAACAGCAATAAATCCGTGCGTTCGTGAAACGTAATAAAACATACGTTTGGTGGTATAAGGCCCTTGTTGGTTTCGACTGCTGCATCCACCACGACTATAAATTTGGTCCTGATTTCCTTATTTATACTCTAACTAATAGAGTGGTCGAGCGATCGTAGAAGAAGTCTATCGCAGTCCGCACCGCAGAACGCATCTTTTAGTTAATACATCAAGGATAATTAAAAGGATAAAATATCTTGTTACAAGGACACTGCGCAAGCAACTCTATTAAATAATCCTTGCCACAGAGAGTAAGTTAAAAAATGTGATCGCGCAAATCGTCCGATTAGTCAACGTACTCGCACCATTCAACAAGCTGAACTTCTTCATCTACTTAGACTTTTCCTTTTCTCGTGTTGCATGTAGTAAAATATAATAATAATAATAGTAATAATAGCAGTAGTTAAAAATTAATAATAATGATAGACCTTACTTAGTAGCGTTTCCCTGCGTCATAAACGTCCGCAAGAATATGTATGTATGCGATCTAGCGAATACGCGATTATGTACTTTGAAACTTCCTAGCTGCTTCCCCGCGCCGCCTTTCGACCTCTCGACGAACTTTGTATTTACAATAGTTAGTTGTATCAAGAGTTTCTTTTAGTTGCTATCTCTCACCTCCTCTATTTGATTATCTTCTCTACGTTAATATCAGCTAGTCAATGCGCACTTGTCAACGTGTGTGAAGATGAAATCAAGTCACGATGGCGCTCCGAATGGTAAAACTCGGAAACGTCTACGTCGCTAAACAGATCGGGTTATCGTAGATAAAGCTGCCTGTGGATTCGTTGCTGCGAGAAAAAAATTGACGACAAAGTGGCAGTGCTTTCGTGTCATTACAGTGTGTGTACATGCGTGTGTTTGTGTATGTTTGTGTATTGTGCTCCCACTTAGAGGACTTTGATTTCGCATCTCCGCTGCCGAGTGTACGTCGGCAGTTAGATGGTCGCAATAATCAGCGCCGTACTTATCTTACTTCAGCGTTCTCGGCCCCACTTTGGGACTCCTAATATATAAATTCGTATACAAAACACACAAATAACTAAAGTTCTAAATTATAAATATTTTATACATATACATACACAATCAATGTGTAATTGTGCGTATATATGTAATATCTATAAATTATTCTTTTTTTTGTTACTATTTCTTACTCCGCTCGTAATTTTCTTCGGTTACTATCATTCAATTTTTTACAAAATTATCAATTATGTTGTCACACATAAATTAACTTTTTAATTTTAGATTCAATAAATAATGTTAATATCAATAAATATAAAGTGATAATGTATATGCAAACATTTACAAATACGACTCTGATTTTCCTCAATTCCTTTAGTTCGTGTGTTTCCATTATATGTTTCGTATACATCGTCAAAATTACACAACTTTTTGATTATTTTCTATAATGATATAATTACTGGAAAGGAGTCCCTTGAATTTGCGGGGCCGCCAATTAGCATCTAATGCGTCTACAGGTAGGGTAAGTACGGTTCTGGTAACGGTAGTCGAACACATTTTTTTCTCCGCGATGCATCTACCACATAGTAGGAATGTACAGTCTGTACCACAGTAACACAATCGTGACACGAGGCGATGTAATAAGTAAAATGTGTATAGCATGAGTTAAAACAGCCGGGCACGTCTTTTGATTTCATTGCGGCGCCACTGTGGTAGTCTGTAGAATTCCGCACGGGAGCATTGGAGGACCATCTCGAATTCTGCGTCGGAGAGATGTCGCTGGGGAACAAAATTAAAATAAACAGTGAACAACAATTGTTATAAATATAATATTTTACCTACGAACCAATCAACTGACTGAGCAATTATACTCACCTCGAGATTGCAACGATCCACGTCAGCTGGCAGCCTGTAGTTGGTGATAACGAGTAAATGATAAGGATAAAGTTTGGGCGGTTCGGTTGGTGCAGCGCCCATGTCCGGCAGCGATCTCCTTACATGATGACCCCCGTGGCCTCCAACAACCGAACCTAGGCCACCTGTATATGTGGTGGATGATGGAAGGATCCCACCATCATTCTGAATCACGATCACATAGAATTATGAGACTCACTAGTGAAAACTAACGTGAATAAATAATAAGAGGTAGTAACATGAACGCCACGAGAGAAGCATAAGGGGTTGCTCTCGTATTCTCCGGCTCTCTTTCTCTCTCTTTTTCTAAGACAGACAAATACAGGATATCATATTTCGCAAGAATACTCAATTAAGTAATTTAAGTAATTTTAGAGTAATTTTTCATATCAAATTTTTAATAAAAAATTGTTATAAAAAATTTGACATAAATACAAAGGAAGGCTTTCTTATCTGCAGAAAGGTTCGTGAAAAGATTTCTGCTAGCAATTAGATTTCCCTTATATCTGATCTTCTCGGCGCTCATGAATAGTAAACACATTTCTCTCACTCTATAAAAATGTTCGTAGTCTTATTTTGTAATAATAAATTAGTGTAATTAATAAACTGGTCTTTTTCATATACACGAATAAACGCGACTGCATTCGTATGACTCAATAGAATGCTTAAATAAACAACGACTCTTTATCAATATCAATGAATTAGTTTCCAGCTGCGAAAACAAATCATAAAAACTAATAATATATCTTTATAGTTTGTGATACTTAGAAAACTTAATGTTGTCAAAAATATTTTTTCGAATGTTAAAAAATTTGAAATATATGAAAGTGAAGCGATCATTCCACGTGCGAACATTTTGATCCTTTTATCGACAATAATGTGATTTTATCTTTCTTATTTACTAAATTTTTTTTTATTATTGATTGTTTGTATTATGATCTTTCGGATGCGAATAACGTGTGTTATACACATGCATTTTTTGCAATTCGAAAATAGTTATCTGTTAAAGAAAAACATTTGTGTGTGCAACAAATTAATTTTAACGCGTGAATAATTTGAACATTGAATATAAAGTGACGTTTTTCAAAGCCAATTAAATTGTTCTAGATGCAAAATAAATTACGCAACATTAAAGTACTAGAAACGAAAAAAAATACATTTTGTTGGATGAAGCCAAATAGCGCAGACTGGATAGAATAATAATTATTCGACTGATCAACTGACTTAACTTAATTAAAAGGCAGAGAAAAAGTAAGCCCTTTTGATAAATCAAATATGCAACATCGAGCAAATTCATCGAGTACATGTAATCAAAAGTGCGAAACTGAAAATCGTAGCAAAATGTACAGCACACATGCATACTCATAATACAGCATTGTATGTACAATATCTTACATCGTAATATAAACAAATACTATAAATCATGTATAAATTATACATATATAAATGTATACATTATATATATATATATATATATTATTTACGTCATAAATTTCAAATGTATTGTCAGTCGTACTGTCATGTTTCTCTAGTTGAATGTGTGCGTGTAAACGCGACACACATCTGTAATTACAGAGACGTGCTCAAAATGTTAAATGAAATTACATTTACATAAATTCCATTTGTCGGAACAATCAAATTAAGTTTTGGTAGATTTTACGGATTTTACGGAGATAATTAATTCGTTCGTGACAAGAGAGTTCTGAATTGTCGAGATCAACAATTGCGAAAGGAGACGCGCTTGAATTGTTCCGGCAAACAAAGTTCTATTGGTGTACGGAGATGCAAGAACAAGCTACAAACCATGCTAATTCGCCGGGAGTAGTATGGGGCTGTGGTACATACCAATGCCCGCCGATCCACATCCGTGATGCTGCCTGTTGATACTAAAATTGGGGAAAACGTGAAAGAAAAAACCATGTCAAACCATATTGCACAAACCATTTCCTATGTTAAGTACAATCTGTTGTTGTACCAATCGTGTTCCCCCTTCGTTATCTGCTGCTCGCACCTCACGTTTCATATGACGTATATATACAAAACAATGCGCGGAACAGTGCAGGTGACAGGTCGACAAAACAGTAGACTAAGTAACGTGGGAACACGATTGTTCCATGAAAATTCTCGATAGTGTCTACTTAAAAATTTCCTGATTTATAAAACTGATCAAAGAGTCGTTCTCTAAGTTCCTCGAGAATGGATCAAGCCAAGGAGTTCCATGACAGGAGTGTTGTGATGACATGATCTTTTTAATGCTAAGAATTTGAAAGTTTTGAAATATGGTAATCGTAGTTTCTTTTAGAATTTAAAGTGTGCCGAATATAAAACATTATTACGAGTATCGTTTACAGCGTTGCACTTGGCACTGCCTGAGTTGATGAATCACACAAGTCGTCTTATAAATTTGACACAATCATTATAAAAGAGGAAACTGTCGTTAAGGCACGCTGTAGGTTGGTCAACAGTCTCATTGGTTAATAACCAAATAAGTGCCGTGTCCTCACAGATTTCTAAGATAGATAAAGTCGTATGACGGCAGTACAACAGGCCAACGTACGAAGAACGTTTCACAAATGAGTTCGCATAGATATTAGTGGTAAAGCATGCGTTCAGGAGCAAGGCGAAACGAAAAATTATCTAAAGAAAATCATGATGTGGCAGCGACACGCTCGCAAAAATCACCAGCTGCGCTATCGTGAATTACGCGTGATGATATATTTATTTTCTTGGGAACAATATATATTCCATATCGCAAAATCTCGTGAGAATAAGCCCAGTCGCAATTTGTGATTTTGTTCAAATTAATTTTCTTGCAAAGTACAAATTCTATTATTCATTTTGCAGATTTCCAATAAATAATTTAATAAACGGGAAGAGCTCAAAGGTTGCGTGTTCTTTACGAAATATGAACAATCAAAATCTCATTAAGAAGACTATGAAAGCATTAGTAATTTTTTAGTTATAAGCGATTGAAAATTAAAAGCTTTCGGCTGAAGCTATCAGAACGCAAACAGACACCAAGATTGTTCGGTTGTTAATTTTGCGCGCGAATTTTCTCGCTAAAATATCATTTTCCAAGAAAGCGAGATATTAGGTAATAAGAAAACTAAGGAGAAAGAAACTCTCGCTCGATTCGGCTGGATAACGTCGCGGACTGCGTCTCTCTAGCGCAAAAGAACGATTTCGCGAGGGCGTCAAGCTCGAGAAGCGTGATGTGAACGTTGAGAGCAGGTGTGAGAGAGGGCCGCGTTATGCAGCGGGGACCGACGCCGGTCCCTCTCGTTTTACTCACTGTCCGACTTGCCAGACGAGAAATCAGTGCTGTGCGTCTTGTCGCCCATCCCACTGAACGAATAGTCGCCCTAGACGACAGAAAAGCGTTATCTTAGAAGAGATGCTCGGCCGCTCGGGTCGATTATGTACTTTTTGTCTTTCCCTGTCTCTCTCTCTCTCTTTTTCTCACTCTACATATATGTATATATTTATGTAAATGCACTATCAGCGCGGTGCACGTCGCCTCGTCGACTGTGACGCGGTGCAAGACTTACGGGGAGAGCAGACACGGAACCGCCGGTCGAGGAGAAGGTGTGACTTCGCGGTGCCAGACCGTACCCCGGCTTCGGGATGTGCCGAAGGGAGCTCACAACTGGTTTCAAATCAGTCAATCGACATGTATTACTGATTAGTCTCGGCGGTGATTCAATTCGCTCAATCCCATACGAATGCCCAACGTTCGCTTGCCAGATTCTTTTTTAGGCGTTTCGTGAACTCTACCCGGAGCCATGTCGCTCTCTCGTGTCACCAATAAAAAATCGACCACTGTCGTGGGATTTCCCTCTAACCGTTGCGCTACCCGATCATGGCGATACTTTTGGCGTTTTTTTTTTCAGTTTTACAATGTTTCCCCATTATGAGTCCGGATCGATTGTGAAAGACAGATATCCATCGGCACACGCGACCTGTGCTCGCTGTGCTAACAAGGCGACATCATGCAAACGGCCAAAGATAAAAATAGTATAATTATCCATTGCTTGATCATATAAGATTAGATTCATTCTCTCAATCATGGTGAATTTTTAAAATTAGATAATTAAGACAATGTTGATAAAAGGAAACTTTCAAAGTTCTTTTAGAATTAAATTGTAAGTGGTCGATATTTTTGTGATACTATCATCGATGGCTGAGTGTTTTATCGTTTTTTTTTTCCATTGTTATCCTTTCCACTAATCTGCCTTATAAAAAGATATCCATTTCTTCTTTAGAAAATCAATAGAATATAGTAATTGACTGTGTAACGCTCAATTACTGTAGTGACATACTTCAATTACTGTAGCAATTGAAGCAGCTACTGATATCGCGTGTGAGGAGGGATATCTGCGATAGCAATTATATCGAATAAAATATCGCACCCCCATCGGCAAACGGCGCTCAAAAGTACTCGACAGTTTCTCGAGTGCATTGATCAAGCATTGATTCTCGTAAAACAGTGTGCGAGGCAATTTACGACTAAAAAAAAAGAGGGTACGTAGAAAGCCAGCACCCGTGTAAGTGCAACAGATTCTTTTCATAAGCTAGACGAGCACGCCCGCCGTGATGACAAGTCAAAAACTTTCCCTTCTGTGGAGCCAACGCGTACATTCCGAAAAAGTAGATATAATATAAAAATACTTTTTACATACATTTCTCAAAATAGAATATTATTATATATTTACAGCACATATAATTTTTGTGATTTCGATACATGGAGTGCACACATCTCAGAATTATACTTATTATACAAGATGTTTGATTACTTGAAGGACAACGCTCGTGTGCAAGTAAGACGAATCAAATAGAGAATGTACTATTTTGCAAATTTTGCAATAGCTATTAAGGAATTAATTAAATGGTATAAGCGAATAAATGCACGGAAAGTTACACGCTGCAGAGCGAGACGGATTCTGTAGATATATTTAAAGAAAAATGTCTTGTACTTTTTACAATCTCCTAGTAATGGTAAGTATTTACTGATAGAGCGTTTTTTTTTAATTACTTTTTAATAACTATTGTGAAATTTGCAAAATAATACATAACGTTCAATTTAATTTGTTTTACCTGTGCTCAAGAGTTATATCTTAAATTGTCAAACACTTTATATATTAATTTTTAATTATCTCGATATAACATATTTTAACTATTCATACTTTGACGTTTGAATCTTGAGAGAAATATAATAAAAATGTTAACATATTAATTTTCTTTTTTAATATATAGTATATTACTCTCAAGACGCGTGCGTACGATACGTCGAGGTATGAATAATCGTGGATCTGTTCAACGGTCTCTCGTCGTCGGGTATATGCCTTTCACATGCCTATTTTACACGTGCTTACAGAGAAACGTGCGCGACTGAAGCAGCAACCTGGCATCGCAGCTTCTGCTTTGCGCGAGCCGAGATAACGTGACACGGTAATACAATGAAACGAACACTCCGATATGATACAAAGAACGCGCGGCACGAGAAACCGAAGTGACAAGTTGGGAAGCGTACGTAAGAGCGGACTCGGTTTGACTTGGGACCAACGGCGGGCGAATTGGAAAGTTTTCGGACTCACCGAATGATAGTGCCTAGTGGCGTTTGGAAGAGTGAAGGCGCGCTGAGTACCAAGGGGTGGATAGTTTCTGGGAGCCGGGGAGCGCGCCGATGACCTCCCAACTGCCGCCCACGCAAACACAACACAAACACAAAAACACAAATAGAGACACGATGATAGTAGACGACAAATAGTAGCGTCGTGACTGACGTAGGTCGCCGTAACATATCGTTAAGCCTAGCACGCTAACCATTAGTGTCGCGATTGCATCGACGCATTTATTGCGTAATTATCGTGATAGGCGCGATCAGAAGTTCTTTTTTTCATTTTCACGTCAATAATTACCGGTAATGCGCGATACAGTTGAGTAGCCGAAGGTTGTAATATAATTAGCAGACGTCGGTTTGTCATCGACCGACATGCGACAGCAATTTGCGGTCTAATTAAACGAGAGCGCATGTTTGATCGATAATAATTTTAATTATCTTTCTCAATATTGTTCCTTGACTTCCGGTAAAACCGCTCTCATTTGCGAATACCTCATATTAGCGTGCCAGAGTTAACCGATGACCCAACATTGGAAGATACCGTGAAGCAAAATTTGATATGTCTGTCAAGAAAGAAGCAGAGGTGTGCGGTGCAGAAAGGAATAACCATCATGCGCCGTAGCAATAAAATAAAACGACCGTGACACCGAATTATCTTCCAACATTGTAAGATTTGTCGCTAGGAAAGTTTAAAAATTAACCGTTCCTAAGAGCATTAGTGAAGAAAACCGTCTCATTAGCAATTTAGAAATGTCAATTTTTAGAATCAAGTTAATAAAAAAACGTATGCTTTGTCCATTATCGCTCATAAGATAACTGACAGGAGAACAAAGATAAAAAAAAAAAAACAAATTCCCGTTTGTTCTTGCCGCGCAAAGAAATGTTGCAAATAAAAATAAAACGCTAGAAAAATTGAAGTCTGTAAAGTATGTTTTTGTATATTCTGTATCAATCTTAATTAAACGGTCTCTCGAGCTTGGAGCGATTGTGTTTATCCGCGATAGCGATTAAATCCTTACCAAGGGCAGCGACAAACGACGGTAAGTCGATTTTACGATCATTTTGGAAAGCTCCACGTACGAGCTCTATGATCGTGCTACGAGAATGAGAGTGGTGTGCATCAGAGCAATGTGTGTTCGTGTGATGATGATGAAGAACTTCGTAGTCCCAAGTGCCATGCAATAGTTATTAAGGGCAGGATCAATTACCTCGGGACACGATTTCCAGGGCTAAAGATTGCAATGGCGGTTTAATAGTCCGTTATTTTTCGGAGGTATCGCTTGACGCGCCGCCCGCCGTTCGACGAAAGAAAATAATAAATGAAGGCAAGCACATCGAAGTTTAGGGACGATATAACATGCATAGCCAGAAATACATCACCTGTTAGATTAATGGGCGTCCGGTGTGTAGTATTGGGTGCTAAATGTCACTTAAAACAAAGTTCTGCTTTCGAGTTACGTACAGTTATATCTCATCGGTATACTGTTAATAATTAGCGTGAACCCCTCCCATGTCACAAGATTCGCATTCGTCGATGTCGTGCTCCACGAAGCAAACGTTTTAGCGGCAAAAACGGGACCATTTACGACCTCCCGCCCTGGGAAACCCCGCTCTATCGAGACTCACAGTGTTCTCTAATCGATGTTACTTCAAAGAGTGGTATATGTTAGTGTCATGTGCGAACGTGTGGACATGTATGAGATGATCGTTACTTATGTTAATGAGACAATTATGAGTAGCGCTTGCATAGCGGATAGACACTCACCGTTGTAGCTAGGCCCGCTAGATCGGTAACTGAAGCCATCGTCGTCCTCCCAAGGTCGCGCATGATCAATATTTCGCGAAGGTGCTGTGCAAAACATTTGTCGAATTATTTGCTAGTAGATATACTTGTGATGGAATTCGTAATTTGATTTCCTCGAATTTAACAAAACAATACGTTTTTCCTGAATTTTCATTTAACCTTAAGACCTTAAACGTGGGTCCAACCAAGATTTGTCAATCGTTACCGTTCTTAAATATACATAATGTATATTTAACGCCATACAGTATTATGATGGTTGTTAAAAAAATGTATATTTATGCACGTACATTTTAACAAATAACGTTCTCACAATGTTTTAGAGTAGCATTAAGTTAGATTTTTAATTACCAAAGGTTAGACTTCTGGATTAAGATTTCTAGATTAGATTTAGATAGGATTTTGGTAGGATTTGTAGATTAGATTTTTTAGCTACCAATATGGATTTAGGTAGGATTTAGGTAAAATTTCCAGCTACCAAAAATATACTTTTGACACTTGTTAAATACATACGATATCGAAAAATAACGTTTTACTTATGAAACTTTTTTTGTTAAGAGTTTTTTAATAAATAACGAACGACGGCTAAGACCTGTCAAAAGTTACTCAGGACTTCTATATGTCAAACTTTTTTGCAAAGGTTTACCAAAAATTTTTTAAATAAGTTGTAGCGTCATATATACACATAAATCAGATGGAATAAACTTTCACAAGTACAAAAAAACGAGATAATACTTGATCTATGTACCTGGTTTATGTATGTCTATATATGATTGATATGCATGCAACTTACATGCGCCAACAGGACTCTCGTAACGCAGTCTATATGTAGGTTCCCTGGCAGCGGACGGTGTCCTTGAGGCGTTCCTAGGATCCACGTTCGCAGCCTTGTGTCGCAAATTCTCTCGGTCCTTCTCGCGATCTTGCAGGAATACCTTGGCTATCCCCGTATCGATCTTACTCAATTCGTCCTGCTCTTTCTTCAACTTCTGCTCCGCCTCCTTGATATACGTTTTGTTGTCCACTTCATCCTCGTCGTCAGATGCAGGTACCCCCTGGACAAGGAATATCTCGTTAGTAAAGTAAATTAATATCATTGAAAAAAAAACCTGAGCGTTATTCTTCCGGAAACTGAATTCTAAGAATACCTTGTAAGTGTCGGACCATCGTCTACGTCTCTCAGGATCAGTGTAAGGATACGGCGGAGCAGGAAAATCGTCTCTCTCGATGGGCGGTTGTGCTCCGGGCGGTGGCTTCATCGCATCCGGATAATGCGCTAATTCGATCGGCTCGTCGTTATCCACCTGGCTAGCAGGTGATTTCGGTCTAGTGTCGCTCAGAGCGTCGACCAAAGCTCTCATTCCGGATCTGCTGCTGCGTCCACCGCTGCTTCTTATCGAACGAGATGCTAGTTGAACAGAAGCAAAACATACTCTTAAATTGAACGTTTCGTTCGATTGAAGGTTGGAAGAATTGATATTCCAAGCATGTAAATTTGTATGTGTAAAACTCTAATAAGACAAAAACAATTATAAAATGTTATTAAAATTATTAAAAAGAAATTATTAAATCGATCACACAAAAGATTCGACTTCCAACCGTCCACGATAAACGATAGACGAATGCTGCCAGAACGTTGACAATAAATTATAAGTAACGACGACGATTATTTGATTAACAAATAATTTGTTTCCATCAAATGCAAAACCGAACTTGACGAACAAATTAAACCAAATATTTGAACTGATCAACATATTAGTTCTTTAGTATTTATAAATACAGCAGGAATAATATATGCACTTCATGAATTTAATATAGCGATTACCATTATCTATTGTGCTCTTCGCAGCTAACTCATTGCGGATCGGAGTTTCCAATACTCAAAGTGTTTAGTGAGCACATTTAGTGTGCATACGAGACTGCGATAACTTCCATAAGTTTAAGCATTTTAATAGTATTAAATATCTATAAGAACTTACAGCTAGGTCTATGGAAATGCGGGCTAGTTGGGGGTTTATCGTACGGCTGTATCGGGCGTCTCAAATATCCCTGACTGGGCGTTTCAGTCAAGTATGAGTACGTATAAATCCTAGACACATCTTCCGGAGCTCCTCGTCCGTATTCTCTCAGGATCAGACCGGGACTTCCAGTTCGCGCTGGATAATACTGAGGCAATCAACGTATTTTATCACGCGTGTGGTACAGCAATTGCTTCTTATGGATCTGAATGCAATATAGATATACGGGGCGCACAGAAAATCCAAATATTTCACTCAAGAGAATTTTTATTCTGTTCTCTAAATTCGCTCAAATTTTCAATGCGCCTATATAGAAGAGCTATGCATGGCGAGTAACGCTCTGTCAAGAAACGCATCCATTTAACTTGCAATAACTGACTTTACGTTTGATAATTCCCGACAATTAATTGATAAAATTAGAAGCCAATTTGTTTCTGTATATTTATAACACTGATAAGCTTGTGATTTGGAAAACGACAGATAAACGCTGACTAAAGTCAATTAAAGAGATACGTGCGATTGGATTTCGTAGAAATCACGGTTTCAAAGAGAAGTTTTTCGATACATATTTTATATAAACTAATAAGTGTGAAAATTTGGACGACCCGCCGACAGACGGATACATATTATGCCATTACTTATAATGCTATTTTCTGTCTGACGGATCGATGGAGTTGAAATCGGATTGTCTGACAGAGCGAAAGCACGCGATGCTAAGAGGAGGCGATACCACGCGAAAAGTGATACCAGAAATACTCGTCGAGAGTGCTGTGCTAAGTGACACATGGCATACCTTGCGACTGAGGCTGCTGTAAGGGCTGCACAGCGATCCGTTCAGGCTTGGCGTGCGTGACCGCAATGAAAACTATACAAAATGATCGTGCGAAAAAAAGTAAACAATGATTAAAAGAAGCGATAATAAAACTTAATCAAATCAAGTACGATAATAATAATTATCTGATGTTTCTCGTCTCGTTTCGTATGTCGAGGCGTGCATGAAACGAGAAAGATAAAAAAAAAGAAGGAACGATAAGCCAGTCGATCTCCGAGGCAAAAATCAAGCTATACACAAAGCTAACGAAATAGTGTCCTCTAAATTTACGGTGTCCCGCTCTATACTGTCACTATACAGAGTTATTGTACCAAGAGTTACATACAAGTATGTTGTATGACGAAGTGCTCCGCAAGAGAGTTCGCAGGATTCGGGGAACGCGAACTGACGTTTTTGTACGAATACTTCTGATACTTCTCGAGCAAATTCTGAATACACGCGAAACACTTCGCCCCTTTTCACAATCTTAACCGATATTCTTGGGATGAGATCCATTAGGTGTTACAATAATACGTCTAATGGATCGCGTCCTGGATTATGCAAACAAATACAACTAATAGTGTACAATGCAGCTAAAGTCGAATAATGCGAGCAGTAAACATAAATAGCAGCATGCATTCCTTGATCTTCTAATAACGTAGATGTACGGTTTTTAGCAACACCGATACATTAATATCGGATCGAAAACGAGACACTATACTACGCCAACTATTGAATCATACGATGTTGAACACTCACAACTTCAAGAACCCCATTTTATAAGTGTTAGTATACACTCTTTCTGATCAAGTGGGCTTTTTTGCAATAATAAATATTAAATAAATAAATAGAAAAATTAGAAGCAGGAGTATATTTGACAAAATTATAGTTCGTTCGTGGTTTTTGAACCGCGGAGGAATCAAACACATTGAACACTTACGATTACCTTAGATACACTACTACATACCAAGATGTTACAATCAGTCTACCTCAGCTTTTATATGATTAAATTAAGAAGAAAATAAACAAGCTCTCGAGACAGCCTGAATTGACAATTATAATACACAAATGTACAGAATAAATGGTCTGAGCCAGCGAATCACCGATTGCGCGGCGCAACCGGACTTACCTGCATTTCCGAAGCGCTGCTGGAGATCCGCTCCGACTCCCGATGCTGCGGGGTATCCCCGTGTCCGTTCACGATGCCGTTAGGTCCAGTGGGTCCGGGACCGCAGCGCGGATGCCAGATCGCGGCGCCTTGCAGGTACATCTCCTCGCCGTCGCCGAACGGGTCGCCGCACTTTGTGCAACGCGCGCAGGTCGGGTGGAAATGATGATTGTCGCCTGCCTGCAGGACCTTACCGCTGATGAAGCGGTTGCAATAGGCGCACTTCACTCCGAACTGCTTCTGGTAATCTTTCTCGCAGTAAGGCACGCCGTCCCTGTCGCGGAAAGGGCTTTTAATGACTCGAAAATCGACTTCAGTGCATATTTCCATACAATTCGATACGGACGATGCCCAATTTAATTCCAACCATATTTTTTAGTTGTTCCAACACTTGGAGATAGTGGTAGTAACATGCGTTAGTAATATTATTATCACTAACAATTATAGTACAATTGACTAAAATTTTTTCCCAGTGAATTGTACTTTGTGGATTGGAGGAAAGGAATATCTTATCAAAGTGAGGCAGTTGACTCACTTTCCCATATATTCCCCGTGGAGCACAGTGTCGCAGCTGTGACACTTGAAGCACCAGACGTGCCATTGACGATCGAGCGCAACCAACGCTTGACCTTCCCTCAATTGGTTTCCACAGCCAGCGCAAGCACCAGGGTCGGTGTGTCCATCGCCAGATCCTCTGGTACCGGCGCTATTACCAATTGGCGTGGAGGCCTCGCGAACCGGTATACCGACGCATCGGTGACAGAGCGCCTGACCTACGAACAATGCACAGTTAGTTGAGATTAATGAGATCCGGCTGGCGGCTCCCGCGGCGTCATCATTAACCTTCGCGTCGCGTGGCGATTGTCAGCACCGAAATGAGATTTATCATCTAATTTCATTCATCTCTGTGGCACTTTCGCTTGTCGGGGGAATTAATCTAAGATCATGCGGCTCAACTACGTCCCGTGCTGGCATTGGATTAATTACCGCTACACTAATAGCCGCACAGTTGACAGGATACAGCCGTCGCTGCGTCCTAATTACGATTCTCTTTAAATAACATCTTCTAACACTCCTGGAATGCACCTTTGTACGTCAATTGATTAAGCAGGTTCTAACGCTTGATCAAATATAAAATAAATTTACAATATGTACATGATATAAAAGTTAACCGAAAAAATAATAACAGAAATTTCAGTAAACTTCAGCACGTCGTGTTTGTTTCCGAAATATTTAATTACTAGAAATTGTGTAAGTATGTGTATAAAACATCTTTATAATACAACAAATTCCCTCTAATTTGATATATTTAAGACAAAAAAGAGTTTAAAAAACTGTCGTAATAATAAAATAAATATTTAAGTATATTTTATTCAAGTATTACATAAATTTACCGTCAGATTGAAGAGAAATTTAGATTTTTAGATGAGAATACTTGTTAACTTTACAATAAATGAATAGAAACATAGTAACATCACATATATGATAAGTTGAAGCCAAATCTGAAGTAACAGCATAATGTCATTTCTATGTTTATTATTTATTTAAACATAACATCTATGTGCATTTCCAGTGTAAATTAAACAAAACCAATCAATCATCAAATACAATAAGGAATAGATTTCATATTTCTTTTTTTACAATTGTACTGACATCAAATGTATGTTTTACTTTCATTTTGTCATTCTTAAAACATTTCATAATTTTCAAAATGAAAACAATTATACATTGTGACATTCACGAATTTTATCTTATTATCATTGATAGAAAATTATATTTTTAATCATTTTAAACGACTTTATTGGTAAAATACTGATTGACTAGAGAGTATAACTTCGTAATTTATATATGATAACGCTTTCAGATAATATTTTCCAGATAAAACGCGATAACAGATAGAAATTACATTGATTTTCTTCCCATTAAAACCTTAATCTAAGTGCAAAATTCAACGAGAGTGTACGTGTATATAACAACTGTTCCCATATTCTTATCTATAATTCTTTATGAATATGTGTAAAATGCATTGACCTAGTAAGCGACAAAGCCATGTACACGGCACATCGAATTTTTACTTTTGACCGCGTAATTGTTACAAGGACGTATCTCGTGCTAACATATGGCCTTGTAACCGTCTACATAACGATATGCCTAAGTGGCAATTTGCTTCTAACAGATTGACTGCCACGCTAATTGTGAAAGCTGCATCAAAGTGAGGTGCATGAGACGCTAGTAAACCACTACGCAATCTCCACATGCATCACTATTTACAATTGGTAGAAATCACTGGCTATTCAAATTAGCGAGTTTTCTACGTTGCACTATTGCACGTCCAATGAGGACTATTCAACATGCCTCAATACATGCGACAGATTCCAATAGAATAATTACATTTCGTATGTAATGAAAGATGACGAGATCTGTCTTGCACAATTTATACTCTCTAAATTTTTTAGAGTTTCTAAATTCTTAAAGTTTCACTCAAAAGGAGTTGGATATTCACTTCAACCGATAGAGAAAATATTGTCATTCTGAATGAAGTGATATTTCATTTTTAAGAGTGAATATTTCATTCCAACTAGAATGAATAATTTCACTTCAAGTAAAATGAATTTTTATAATTAAGAGAAGAGAAAAATTTTTTAGTTCTATCCTAAACAGTTCTATCCTTACGAGTGAAAACTAATTAATTGACTTTAACTTGAGTGACGGTCGTTACTCTATTTGTCGAAGGAAAATTCACTCCAGAGCGAAAATTCCTCACAGAGCGAAAATTTTTATTCTACGATACAGAATGAAGGAATTCACTATATAAGAATGAGAAGTCACTCTAATTCGAGTTATGATTGAGTCACTCCATTTTTCAAGTGAGATTTTCACTCACAAGACATTTAGAAAGTACGTTTGACGTCAATAAAAAATTCTTGATGAACATGTGAGTTACCATTTCGTGTTTTGGTAACGCAGCTTTGAATGGATCAAGAATTAATCGTCCGAACACGTACCTTGAACTAGAGATACTTTTGTCCCCTGTCCCAGTAGCGGCTGCCGGCATCTTTGGCAATGGAAACAATTTGGATGAAACGTGTACTTCTCGCCGGCTGTCACAACATCGCCCTCCACGTATTCCCCGCAACCGGCGCATCGCGTTCCCCAGCGTTCTCGGTAGTCCTGCGAGCAAAGCAACAAAGTGACAACCGTATTAAAAACTTAATCTATTAAGAGAAGTATTTCATTTATGGGACATCTTTTTTTTATTGAATAAAATCATTGATTAAGGAGCATCTGAACAAGAAATACATCTATAACATACACATGATACAAAAGATATTCAGACTAACAAAAAGCGCAACAAATTTTTAATAATCTTTATTGTATCGTTCCCAGGATATCTAAATTTATATTGTGCAATTTGTAGAACTTTTATAATACAAAAAAATTCTTCTTATTTGACATATTTGTACGTAAGAAAGAAGTTTAAAAAATTGTCGAAATAAATAAAATGAACATTTATTTTAGTAAAGTATCACATAAATTTAGATTGAAGAAATTTAGATTTTTCAATGAGAAAATTCGTGATGTCGACAATGTATGAATAAAAACACATGGCAACATTACATACATGATACATTAGAGCCAGATCTAAAATAACTTTATAACGTCATTTCTATATTCATTATAATATGTTATTCATTTTAACATAACACATCTATACATTTCCATCTAAGATTAATTGAAACTAATTAAGTACAATAACGAGTACATTTCTTCTTCATATTTCTTTTTTTGCTGATTATCAAACTGATTATCAAATATCTTCCATGTCAAACTGTCCTGAATTCCAATCATCAATATTATATCAATCATCAATAGCCACATTTATCTTTCTTTGGTTGAATTTGTGAAAGAATTATGGTCTTTAATAGGTTAACCAATGTCCATAACGTCGACGATAACTGACCTTGGTGCAGTAATAGGTGCCTTCACGTGCAAAGAATCCACCTTGGGCCAAACTAGCATTGCACTGGGCACACTTGAAGCACCCGATGTGAAAGTATTTGTCTTGCACGCGCAGCACCTCCCCGCTGCACTTCTTCTTGCAGGATTGACAAAACGTTTTACCTGAAACGAGGAAGCGTTCACGTCACTCGAGAGTTGCACTTGAAAACGATGGATTGTTATTAATTTCAGTTTCACGAAATAACCAAATTTATTAACAACCGTGAATTTCTCTTTCCTCCGAGTGCGCAAGGAGGAAACTCGGGATAACAATGGAAGAAACATCGTATGAGTCACGCACCTGCCTGCTTATTTGCTCGCACGTGATCGCATGAGATTTCTTTCGTATTTATGTAACAATGACGATCTACGTCGTCCATTCGCTCGTTGCACTTGGACATCAGCACTCGTCAAAACGCTTATAACTTTCAGCAATGACGTAATGCACCTGTCGCTAATAAAGGACGCGTTACGGCGTCCGTTATTTAGAAGAACGGATCATGTTTTGCGAATGACTAATATAGCGTTTTCCGCAAAGCGCCAATATTAAAAATAGCACGCAAAATGCTTCATACAGTTATTGAATAGAAATTCCTGAAAATTAGTTTTCTTGCAACTTTATGTATGTATTGGGTTAACCGAATAGTTCGTGACTTGATTTATGAATCAAAGAACTTGACCTATTTTTATATAGGTGTTAGATTATCGGAGTACAAAGATGAGTCACATATAATGGTATTATAAAACATGAAGAGAGAATTCAAACTTTATAAGTGCCAACAGCTGAAACACCAGCCGGTTAGTGTTACGATCTTATCAATATGATGTATGAAGTATATTAAGTTTGCTCCCTATGCTTACAGTATGCTTTCAATCAACTAATGGTCTCTTTTAGCATATTTGAAAATTACTTCCAGATTCATCTTCGTAACCTCTCTTCCCAAGATACGTGACTTTATTTCTGTGTCCGTAATAATAGCTCTAACCAGAGATACCCCAAGATAAGTATGACTTTGTAGAGCCTAGATATGGCCAAAATAGGCAAATCCTGAATGGAATTTCGTGAATGAATCATGAACTGATACTGACATGGATGCTCTAAACGAGGCTTGTGCTAGTAAGACTCGGTCAGGGGCAAGCTAATTCCTAAAATGGCTTCAGTGAAGAAATAATTATTCATTAATAATTAATGATCGATAGTTAATATAATCATACGTCATAATAGTTAACCATATAATTTCATAATCTCGCTATTTTAAGTAAATTTCTCTTATGTTCAGGTGAAACGAGGTATCGCTCGATATTGCAAAAAAGGCTCTTCGTCACTTTTTCTTCTTATATAGTACCGGTTAAAGCGACTTGACTCAGCCAGTTATTTGTCACCACGCCCGGATTACGCTTGTAAAATGTCGCGCTCGTTTCGTACGTGTCGCGAATCGAGATTTCACCACGTCGCTGGTTAAAACGGACATCGACCGAAAGGCGAACGCGATGTGTTTTGTCACGAGTGCGTATAACATGTAATACAAAGAGTGTAAGGCGAATGCATTATTCAACATCGGACACGCGTTGACTTTTGGGTAGTTGAAATCTCGACGCTTCACGATTATCTGAATATGTAGCGCACACCTCGTCGTTACATTATCATTACATTATTCACTCCTCATTACGTTATGAATGAAGAGTATCTCGATGCGATATGAGCCGCATAATCGATTCGTTATGATGTGAGTCTTCGCCGAACCTAGCGTCTCTATTTCCGTCGTCTTCCATTCGCATTGGCAGGAGTTTATATGTACATGCCGTGAGTAATCAAGCTACATTTACCCGCTGCGACTAATTAACACGTTCCGTGTCACGTGCACTGAGAGACAAAAATAGTTAATGCTACTAAAATTATAGTTATTTTCTACGCAAACTCTTGTTATTTTAGTAGGAAAAATATTATTAACAACATGTAAAGGTTATTATTATTGATATAATAGTAAGACTTATTAGAAAAATTTAAAGTTGCTGCTAAGTTTATGTACATCTGTTTATCTGGGAAATGATGAAAATTTTGCTCAGAAAAACATGTGCAAAATATAGCATGAAAACTTGTGTGTATTTTAATAAATTTATAGTCGCATCAATATAACAAAACATTTATTGTATAATGTCAATTTAATGATCAGTACAGTATATTTGTCTTATAAACGTAGGTAAAACAGTTTCTTTCGGAAAATACAGTTTCTATTATCGATTGTCTCACATTGTGATAATTATGAAAGTCTGTCTGTGTTACGTCGTGATAATCATGAAAGTCTATCTAGAATATGCGATTGTAGATAATAGATGCTAAACATTTTTCTCTCATTATAGGCTACTGATAACTCACGCTGATATTTCTTCTTGATACTTTATTAACTCTAAAACGAAACATAAAATACTTCGATAATTATTATGAGACATATTATTTGTCAAATAAAATTTGGCTCATAATACGATAACGTGGGCCATTGGAGGCCGATGCGGCGAGGAAAACAAGTCACATAAAATTAGTCCGGCGCAAAACATGTTATGCGAAAAGCATGACTGACTTTTGATGTATGTGAACGAAGGAAGCGGAGTTATACAGGGAGAAACTCGCTCAAAACAAGTGTTTATCCCGTGCAATCATTCAATTCGATGACTCAGTGGGCGCGCGCGAAGACACGATGAACGTGCCGCTTTTATTGAGTTATCGGTTGTTTTGAGCGCGCAGCCCGCGATAAATTACAGTATATCTGTAGCACCGTTATACGCGCGTCCGGGTCGCGCCTAACGCAAAGGGGGTGTTTCCTCGCAGCACCGCAGTCAATATTTAGAGAGGCAGAACTAATAATCTTCCTCCGTTGCGCTCGTTGCATCGAGCCCAGCTGTTCCGCCCAAAGACCGGGCTTGTTTTCAACTAACGACGTGTAAAGCGGGAAAAAAGGTACACAGGAAGCAGTTTCGATTCGAAATCCGTCGGGATTGTCGATTTAAACAACGGTTCAAAGAGGGTAAACGATCATCTTCATTCGAGTTTTTTTTAGAGTTCCTTGGATATTCTAGAAAAGCAAAAATTCGAGCATCCCGATATTTGTTCCGGTTCTTTCAAACGCGAAGCTTCGTGCGTACTCTGCGCGGATCATGTGCGAAATGTTTCTTCAAATAAACGATTCAACTACGTGAGAATCTCGCGCTAGCAAATTTCATGCGAATTCAACCGAAACAAAAGCAAATGCCGGCAACCGCCGGTATTTATAAGCAGCGGCGGGTGTTACTGAAAAAAGAAAACACGCGTAAAATTTCGAAGTGAGAAGAGAACGGACTTTGCGACTCTGTAAAAATACACGGTGACATCATGACTCTCCTCATGCATTTGACGTCACCGGGTCGTCACACGAGTTGACGCCGACGAGCGCGAGTAGAAAATTCGCTTCGCACGTAGGCAGACGGAGTTGAACGCATCCGCTTTGTTTCCGAGTACCTCGATGCCGCTGAATAAAATCGATCATTTCCGAACAAGTGCAAAAAAGTGTCACCAGTTGATTGAATGACTTCGCAAGTATCGTCCAACTGACAAATTTTCAAGTTTTCTTTGAGAGCAATTGAATTTCAACAATTCTGAAATCTGCGATAAAATACACGTGTCAAGATTAAAAAAGATATCAGTACGACGAATAGAAGTAGGAAGTACTACTTAAAATTACGAATATAGAACATATATAAATAATTTTACACATTTGTATAAATAATAAAATGTTTAAACAAAACGAGTAAAAAGTTGAAAAAAATTGTTATACAAATAATTTCTCATTTTGGCCGAGATTCAAACCATTTTTGACTAATTTAGCACAGATTTAAAATATTTTGGTTGGAATCTCGGCTAAAGAAATTTAGAATATTTTGTGTCTCAGCTATGCCGATTTTGTTAAAATTATTTAACTGTATTTTGTATTCGATTTTATTTCTTATGCATTTTTGTTGTACTTGTTGATGATAGGAGTGAGAACATTAAAAAGTTATAAATTGTCCGTGAAACTCAAACTAGGCTACAATGAAAAAAATATGACCTAAATATTTGTTGTACTTCTACATTTGTGCCAAATTAGAAACAAATCGGAGTGTAACTTTTGATTTATTTGTATATTTACGCGAAATATTTGTTAATACATAATTATAAATAAGCGTTTTTAATAATTTTTCTTTTTTGATTTGGAATTCACTAATCTAAAGTCCAATAATTTTACTTTAAAACTGTAAAGATGTTTGTTGCTTATATTAGTTTTTAACGATTCCTTTTAATGTTCAATCGACAAATTTATGTAAATGAATGAAAGTTATTCTAAGCTTAAGTGACCCATAATTAGGACTTTATTATTATTTTATCGAGCAAATGCTTGATATTTTCGATTAAATCCTAGAACAATATCAATGTTACTTTCTCTATGTTGTCGATGGGAAAAAAGAGAATAAAACCGGAGCTTAGTCTGAGCACCGCTGATGCAAGTTTGCGTTTAATCGAACGAGGGCACTCGTCCATGAAGTGACACACCCTCGTCTGCGCGTCACATCTCGTTTAATTTATGGCACGCTTCAACCGGGGTGAAAAATCTGTTGCCAGAAAAAATGATGTCGATAGGTTCCAACGGACACGACTGGACGATACTGGGATTTATCGTCCTCGTGATTCGCAAGCGTCAACGATCGTCATCGTCGTCGATAACAGCGTGTCGATGTCAAGTATAATCCGTACTCTAAAAGAAAAAAAAAAAATAAAAGAAAAAAATACGATGCATTGTTCAGTAGAATCCTCTGACAGGGGAATCATGGTCGCAACAGCAAGGAATGAGTATTATAGCAAGGAAAAAAAGGTTGATTAAAATAATCTAACAATAAACTAACTAAACTAATCTAACAAACAAAGAAATTAGTTTGGAAATGGAAGTGGAAAATGAAATTTCTAGGTCTTACAACCAAATTTGATTTATAAGAATTAGAAAATATGTCCCCTTTAACTAAAATGCGTTTGTTTTATTCATCGTCTGGTTAAGAGACTTTTTACCTCCACCCTCCTCTCTTTTGGATGCCCAAGAAAATATAAATAATTCAGAAAT